ATAATTTAACATTTTTGTAATTGCCGTTACAATTTGGCACACAACATTTGAAAGGCATTGCTATAAAAGAAATACATAATTTCAATAATAAAGAAGTATGATCCAAATCTAACCTATTATGATCAGTTTTCTAAATACGTTCATAATTCGGTAAATTAATAAAATTATGACTTACTTCAATAATACAGGCATTCACCAACTATCCACAACAAAAAATTCTTATCAAAACACACTACACTATTAAAAAATTCACGTTAATGTCGCATGAAACACAAGGTTACGTTAGAAAACTGAAAGATAAATGGCCTACTAGTGACGTCGTGATTTCAGTGGAGTGGCCTTGTCTATAGGTGGTGTTGCCCTCGCCCTCAACCGATTTTACTGAGGTAACCTTCTCTCTATAAATCTTGGGCAAATGCTCAGAAATAAGCGCTTTTAATCGAATAAGGCGAGTGCCTAGCAGATTCAAAGTCCCGTATTCGAGACTTGATTTTTGCAACTTTTTTTTTCTTTTTTCCACATTTGTTTCTAACAGTATAAATTAGTTAATGTTTTTTTGGCTAAAAAATATTTCGTATATTAATAATATATTTGCATATGTTAAACTAATAACTAATTATTTTAAAAAGAATACTGATTTGCTATTATAAATAGAAAAATAAAGTCATTTTACAACATATATATTGCAACAAAGTGCAATTTAACATATGCAATTATTGTTAATAAATATAAAATAATATTTTTTAGCCAAAAGCATTATCTAATGATTCACTTGATGGTACAGTGCTAGAAACAAATATACGAAAAAAAAAAATGTTACAAAAGCAGTTTTCAAACACAAGATTTTCAATATTCCTGCCACTCGCCTTAATCGATTAGCCACGCTTGCTTCTTAACATTTATCTCTATCGAAAGATTACACACCTGGAAAATTTTTATCTATTTATTTTAAATTACTGCATATTAACAAGACTGTACTGTGAAGATTAATGGAGAAACGGTAACATATACAATGCAGTCAAATACATCTTACAAATGCAGTCAAATAGATCAAAGATTATTGCACTCTTGTTAGCATGTTAAAGTATGTGTAGCGTATTATTAGTTCATTAGTAATTTTAAGTGTTATTAATAGTGGTCTTCCACCTTTCAGGTTCCACTAACTAGCCGCGTTCGATTTTTTTTAAGTGAATCGTCGCCTGGAGTCCTATTGTACCAGTTTTTTTAAATTATAATTTAAGGTAAAAGTAATTTTTATTGTTTTGATGTTGATGGACCATATCTTGTGCAAAAATAAAAAATAAATATAAAAATAAAATAAATAATTAAAGTTAAAATAAAAGTAAATTTCTCTAAATTCTCGGCCGTCTATTAAAAAATTCTTTTATGGTTTAAAGATTGTTATAGAATAGTATAAAGTACATATAAAGAAATAAAATATATAAAGAAATTATTGAAAATAAATGTATGAAAGTTTAGTTATTGTTTGAGATCGCAAAGTGCATCTCGCGTAAATTTATTGTAACCAACGTTCCCAATCATCGGAAAAAAACAGTTACATGCTCATTAAAGCATGACGCCCTCCGATAAACACTTGGACAAAAAAAAAGGGAACACAGAGCTT